TCTTTTGGAAGTTATCACCCTTAAGAGAAAATACTCAATTCCTTAAAATGCCCTGTCTTGAAAGTTCAGTTGTGTATTAAACTAGAGTCTTATTGAAGGATTAACATATAATTTTATATTTTCCAGAACCCTGAACCACCAATATGACTACACATTTGATTGGACAATGTTAAAGCAGAAAGCAGCACAGCAGGCAGCCTCTTCAAGTGGGCAGGGTCAACAGGCCCAAACCCCCACAGGCAAGCAAACTGACAAAACCAAGAGTAACATGAAAGGTTAGTAGCCAAGAACCAAGTGACGTTACAGGGGAAAAAAATTGAACACAAAATTGGGTAATTCATTCATTTCTAACAGTGTTAGATCGAGGAGGTGGTTTTAAAACACATAAAAATTTGGCTTTGTTTAAAAAAAAACTAAACAAAAAAACAACGTCCTTGGAAAATTTGACTACTAACTTTAAACCCAAATGTCCTTGTTCATATATACATGTATATGTATTTGTACATACATATATGTGTGTATATTATATCATTTCCTCTTGGGATTTTGGGTCATTTTTAACAGCTGCATCTTTTTTACTCATTCATTAACTCTTTCCAAAATAAACATTTGGTGTTGGGAATATGGTATCGTCAATAAATCCAAAATCCTAGACCTAACACTTGTTGATTTTTAATAATGAAGCTGGTTAGCCATGATGTCTTGACTTTCTTTCAGACTAACAGTGTTAAGAATTTTTTCTGCATGTTAATGCTTTAGCATTTAAAATGGAATATTGTGAACACGATCTGATTTCAAGAGGTGAGTCTGAGTTTGGCATTGCCCCAAAGTGTCTATCTTCTCAGTTGTAGAGCATCTAGTTTAAGCTCTTAAATGCTGAAATAACTGAAAAGCTTGACACATAAATCTCTTAGCTAATATTTACCTACATGTGTTCTTTAATTTCCAAATGATCGTTTGCTTTTGGCTTTTTTTTTTTTTTTAAATCATGCTAATATTCAACATCTAGGAGTCCGATGTGGAATTGAATTCTGCAGTTAGGCCTTGCAAATTGAAAAATAAAACTGGGGCAAATGCCATTGAACTGCTAGTCTGTTCCTGTCTTTCTCCAGCACCCTTGGTGCTACAGGAGTAGAACTGTTAGGGTACACAGCTCCATTTCTTAATTGCTGTTGTCATACAGTTCAACTCCTGTGTTTCGTGCTTTTTGTTTGTTTTTCCCCCCCTTTCTAGGGCTTACCTCCTAATACCTGCCTACTTTGTAGAAGTGGGCAGGTAAAGTTTGGTGTGGGGGCTTTAATTATTTAATTTCTGAATGACTGCTCTAGTCTGAACTTGGTCTTCTTTGATCCGTATTTTTAGTGTTGTGTTTAAACTATTTTGTAATAAAAAAAAAATAGGCTCTACTCTGAGGATACTTTATAAGAAGTATAATTAACTGATGTCATCCTCATCCCAGCAGCTCATCTATTAGGAATGAAGTAGAGATGCTTCCGTATTGGGCAGGATTCACAGTTGAAGTTTTAATGTAGTGAGGGTTCTTAGACAATGCAATTTCAGCTCAGGATAGGAAACACTAATGCTTGCCCAGTGTTCTGCCTGTGCATCTCACTTGGGACTTAATTGCCCCTTTTGAGTGTTTTAATGATTGTATAACTAATCATAGCACCAAAATATAGAAGAAATGCTACTGTTTAGGTAAGACAACCTACAGTCCCTAAACTGAGGCCTTGGTACATCTGACACCTATAATATATTAGCTTTTTCTCACAAAATGAAACCAATTTTTGCCTAAAGCTAGCTAGGATAATAGGATCATCATGATTTGCAGTTTCTAGAACTAAAATTAGATTGAAATATCAGCTGACCTAGAACATTTCACTTCAGGCATTCAGCAGCCAGCCTTCAGAAAGAATTATACCTTATTTTGAGCTAGTTTCATTGTTAGTTTACTGTGTATTTCTTACTCAATAAACAAGTAAAATTTTTGTCCTGCCCTGCCCTATCCAGGTCTTAAAGATGAGCAGTTGGATCCACTGAGTTAGTATATTTCCTTGGGAAAAAAATTAAACAAGTTTAATCCTTACTTTGTAGCTATTTTTTTTATAAAAAGCAACTTAAAATCTTATAAAAATCTTATAGCATTATTAGACACAGGTTATACAAATTGTTACATTAAAGTGGACTTTGCTTAAAACACATCACATGTCATTGACTACTTTCAGAGATGAATGTCCATGCGGTATAATTTGACCCCAAGCAAAATATTGCTTGCAACTAAAATGTGCCATCCCCCAGAATACAAACAACAAAATTCTTTTTGATCTTTGACTTCTTGAAAACATTTATTTTGGATATAGAACTTAGTGCCCCAGCAAATTTTACACAAAACAGGGTTTTTAATGGGTTTGAAGGTGGCTTGAAATGAGTAAGGGGAGCCAATTCCCCTAACCCTAACCCCAACCATTTCTGGGTCATCCATCCATTAAGAAATTGTTGAAGTATAAAGTTTGAAAGTCGGTCTACTTATTCCCGATTCCAATCTCTAGTCTGGGGGAGAGTGAGAAAGAAACATCAATTGGCTGCCTCCACACGCGCCCTAAACAGGGATTGAACCTGCAACCTGGGTTATGTGCCCTGACCGGGAATCAAACCCGAGACCCTTCCGTGCACAGGATGATGTTCCAACCAACAGCCACACTGGCCAGGGCTAGAAGGTGCTTTTCAAATACATCCTGTCGATTTGTTATGCACGAGTTATATTTTCAGAGTTTTCCACATCAGAATTCAGTTTCTTAAATGAATCTTCATCAAGTAGAACTTTGTATCACAGGAATATCTATTCCTGGAAAAATCCCCCAAATGGTGGCATTCACTAATATATTTTATGTGATTATTTTTATTTTTGAAAAATGTATATATAATGTTTTTTCATTGAAAGCTATAATGACTTGTTTTAGCAATTCACTTAAAAATGTCCAAAGACTTGTAAAAGTCTGAATTCAGTTAAGAAAGGTTTATTATATGTAATAGGCTTCTATCCTAATTACTTTTCTAAAGAAAAGATCTTTGAAATGTTCCATTCCAAAGCCCATCAAAAGAATGATATAAGAAACAAATGTTTCTCCTAATGCCTACTGTGCTCTGTACTAGTTTTCAGTGCTCAAGTGTCACATGATTATAATTATTGTTTTTATACATGTTAAAGAGAAAAAGAAAAGATTCACTCCTGATACACTTCCTCCAAGTACTTTTCAAGACATTTAAAAAGTAAAGGAAAAGGAAATATTTTTAAGATATTACCAATCCAATTAAGTTGCTCATTTCTTTAGTTAAGGGCAGAGATGGGAGAATTTCAGAAGGTAATAAACCAAAGGTTGATCCTCACATAAGTCTACTGTTCTTATCACCTTAACCCATCTATCAATCAGTTCACTACTCCAGCCATCAGTACTAAGCATAGTTTTGTCATAAGTACTTGGATGTCAAATTGTTGGCATTCAAGAGATTAGTAATGGTTTTTCATCACATTATCCTACCATATCCATGGTCTTCCTTGAATTACCTTCCAGTATTTACTGGGCTTCACCTACCATTTATGTCTAGCTTAACTTTTTCTGACTTCACCAATTGCTGCTAGGAACGTGGCTGGTCACTTAGCAACGTAACCCAATCACAGGGGAAGACCTTGAAATATCTGGAGCGACTGGTGTGCTCTGAATACACTCAGTTCAAGGAAGTACCCGGGAGCTGCATCTGCTTGCTGAAATTTTTGTCAGCTTTTTTCACTGTGGAACAATAAACCTGGAGAGAAGAGAACTGAAGCAAATGAACAGGAAATGAACATGAATGTGCAAGAGTTGATTTGTGATGATTTGAAGCCCACATCTTCAAGGCTTGCCGGACCTGTCAAACTTTACAGCCTGTCAGATTGTCTGGATGATACAACCATTCAGAAGACCCAGAAGAGTACAGTGTCACTGTGACTCAGTGGTGTATAATGCAGACCATCTACCATTTGGGGAAGGAATCAATTGTAACAGGTATTTTAAAATTCTGCAAACTCAGAGATCTGTAGCAGAATGAATTCTGTGACAGGGAAGACAAGAAATCAGATCATCAGTCTGTTTTTTAATGCAGTTTAGGGATGATGTATACTTGGTATACTTAAGTTGTCATTTATCTTATTTGCAGTGATAAAAATAAAATCTTTTTCCTTTATCTTTCCTAATATAATGCTTTTCTGTGGAGAAGGAAGCGTTATTATAGGTTCTTTAATTTTTTTTTCTTTAACTTTTATACTGCCAATCCGCTTCAGATTCTGTCAGCTTGATTCTGTGTGACCAAAAAAAGAAAACCACATAAGCATGTTATAGGAAAAGTTAATTAATATAAATGACATTACATAGTAATGAATATGAATATTATATTTAAAAAATTTTTTTAAGTTAATGTCTTATACTGTAAAAGGATTTTAAAAGCCCATCATAAACTTTTAAGCCTTACTATAATTACATAAAAATCCCTTTGAACTAGTTTGTGGTTCTATAAAAAAATTTTCAGGAACATCAGAATTTAATTCACAAATAGGAGCAGATACATACTTTTCATATAGAGGGATAGAATCTCCTGGTTAGTTATATAAAAAGAAACATTTTTTTCTTTCACAGATTTAAAAAGAAACTTAAATATAGCTATTAACTCTTAAATCTGTCACAGTAACCCTCCAAACCTGTTTTAACTTTTCTTTCCCCTCTTTTTTTAGGAACAAAGGCACCCATTTTTTATTTTAACTGTTGTTGCAGTGAAGATGAGTTTGAACTTTGAGAAGCCTGGAGATGCCACCTAAACTACAAGATCAAAACCAAGCACACTGGGGAAAAGAATGCTTAGTACTTGAAGATGGAATGTCGGATACCTCCTGGATGCTCCTATTGAGTTCTTTTATTTTTCTGAACAAACTTTAGTAACATCTTAGGACAATTCACTGGAGAAACATTGATCCCTGGGCGAAGTGTCCTACCTACTACCGGCTAACCTGAAGAGTTCAATCTGGATTTGACTGTTGTATTGTACCAGGAATATTGTTAGACTAGCCTTTAACCAATCCATAACAATTGTAATCATTAATTGACCTAGCAGTTCTTCAAATCATATTAAAAGATGAACAGATAAAATTCTTACCTAGATATACTTTTTATCCCTGTTAAAAACACAAGAGTTTTTTTCATATTTTGCCTCCAATGTAACATATTTCCTTTTTAGTTTATTAGTGACTAT